CCTGATTGAAATTTTAATACGCTCATGCTAGGTCTTCTCTTGATCACCGCTGGCTTTGTTCCACCAAATACCTGCCTCGGCAAACTTAGCTCGCTTAACCTCAGCTTTACTCGTCCGGCTGCCTTATCAGAATCGTGCCAAGCTGAGTTGACCGGGGTTCTCCAACATCGACAGTCAATCCTTATCCTATTTTCTTAATCATCAAGTAGAACTGGCTGAACTGCCGTGGCATACATACACTCGGATGCTGCGGCAGCGCCACACACGTATGATATTGGCAAATGCTTATCGAGTCTTATGCACATGCGAGCTGACACTTCATCCCTGTTGCGTCCACCGGGTAAGATGTGGATGACCAAATTAGGAAAACTTGCCCACTTGCTTTGTTACTTCCCCAGCTAGAGTGAAACCGGGTGCTGGACTAACCCAATCTTGTGGCAAGCGAGTTATCTGTATCCACACTGGGATGTGAGGTTCAGATTGTTATTTTTGTTTTAGTACAAAAATGAAGTGCATCGTCCACACCGATATTCATGCACTGGATAAATTGCTGAACATAGGGGTATGCTGAACAGGATCTTAGATAAGACGTCTCCCCCCTATGTGTCACATCTTGGCTAGCAGACGCACTGTGGATTGAGGCGATAAACTCAGCCTCACAGTGCGGGTCAAGTCCGTTTTTCACTTAGAGTGTTTGCTTTGTCAAAAGCAATTGCGGAGTCTATGCAGAAAGTATCCGGAGACACGCAAAAAGGTTTATTTGTTGTTCAAAAATAAGCATTGCATTTCCTCCAAGTGTTCTGCATCTCTAGTGTCCGGTCAAATCGAATCGTGCTTGGAATTATTCGGGCATCACCTGCATTCCCCAATTTCACCTGGATTTATTTTCCTTTTGGGTTAAGTATACTGTGTTGTTTTTGAGAAACAATGGAAGACAACCACATATTTTTTGTGTGCATGTGCTATCTGATTTTGTGCCACACTGCCAAATCTCCACGGCCTCCTTTGCGTCAGAAACGATGTCCAATTCATGTTGTGGCAACCAAAGCATTATGCATATTCTTTTCACTTTTACTTTCTTTTATTGAATATACAAAGATACAATTTTCAGGAAGGGGAAAGCGGCCAATCAAACGGGGCTGCCAAACGACACACACAAAATGGGGAAAGTCCGTCTGTGGTGGTGGTGGTGGTGATGATGGTGGTGGGATTTGAACACACACACACTGGATCGCTTAAGGTCTCATTGGTCTATCCAAAAAAAAAAAAACGATGTGAACTACACTTGTTCGCATATGCAAAAGTGGCACCGAAAATCTTCTCTGATCCCTTTCATTCTTTACATCTGGCGATCTGGTCAAATGTTGCTCTCATCCATCTACGTATTCTGAATATCGGTTCTTAACCTCTGGCATTAATCTCCATACTTCATCTACAGTTTGTTATCTCGCTAGAATTCTTGCCAGTCAGTTGCTAGTCAGTTACTTCTGAATTCCCAAACAATCTTGGAGGTTGAGTGTTTAACTTCTTTCATTTCCTTTCAATCGATAAGATGATATGCGTTTGTAACAGAAGTATGGACATATGTACATGCAAATAGAAACACAAATACATTAGGAAAAACTATGACAATCATAGGTAGATTGCATGCAAACTTTTAACAAGTGGTAACAAGTTGTGAAACTCTCCACCCGGAGTCTTAACTCCGAAGGCTAGTGCGGAAATGAGCCAGGCCCAATGCCTGCCACAAGCTCGCCAAGATGAGTTGTGCTATATATGTGTAAATGGAAAATTAAAATAACGGTCTGATCAACTGCCCCGGTGACCGAGGGCTAGTATGCTTGAGTTCTACCGGTGAGGTCCCGGGTTCGATCTGTGGTTAGGTTGATAATCTGTTACTGCTGATGAGGACTAACCAAATTAAAACAGCTAACTAGATTTTCTTAACTGTTCAGCCTATTTACCCTCATGTACCCGAGGACATCATCATCAGCATCTAACTATGATGTTCCTTGCACCATGTGAAACACATGCGGGATCTTTAAGCATTTGAGGAGAAAAAAATTATCCACAGCACAATCTCCATCGTGTACACTTTTTACGGTGAATTTCACTGGTGATTTAGATAGACCACACTTATTCTTACATGCGGTGAGCATTGTTAACCAGGAATTGACAATACCAACGAACTTTGAACGACCGCCTGTGGCCGGTAGTTTTCGAAGTTTCGCGGTTGGTTAACAATTACTGAATAGAATATGAATATATTTTCCCATATTCCGTCCTCCTGGGCCAATTTTCAGCGATATTTTTATCACAAAAATTACCGCTCCATTCTCCCGGGGCCGATGCATTTATTTCATTTGTTTGAACCAGTTCCTACGGCATTGAGAATTGGATTTGAAAAAGTTTTTTTTTTTTAAAAAACCCCACTGGTTTAATATTTCTCTTCCCACATTCGTACCTCACAGACTGCCCGGGTAAATTTCGCCGTGTATCCAGAACCGGGAAAACTGTGTGAAATACAACGCTGGAAACTGCACCGGGGATGTTTCAACCGGAGTCACTCGCAATTCGTAATCTGACGGATAGAACTCGGTTCACCATCTCCTCGAGCTGATCAGATTGTTCTACTGCCTTCTCCCAAACATGATGTTGTAAAGGTGCAGTTAACAAACGCTCTTTTAGATCACCTCTGCCCAGGTCGTCGTAGTACCAGCCTCGGTTGGAACGTTACAATCCTGAGAAATCCAGGAAAACTATCTGATCTATCGGATACGTAACCAGATATGAAAAGGTTTGCCAGTATAGTGTCATCAGTTTTGCCACTGATACACCTGTAATTCCTCTCGTTTT